ATCCACAGACACTGTGTCTGGAAGGCAAGGACTGACCACGCACTGGGGTCGGGAACTGCCTTGCCACCGTGGAACACTTCATACTAGAAGCAGCTAAAAACTGGGGGTTCTGCTTGGGACTTCCTTGGTTACAGAGACTGAAAGAATTTACGTGCAGTCAGAGCACAGCACGGGGGAGGGAACATCTCTGGGCAGGCTCTGCCACCATCTCTCCAGAGGGCGCACGAGCAAAATGCCAGCAACCACCCAAGACCAGCCAAGGACAGTGGCCTCTGCTCTGCCCGTGGACTCCGCAGATGGTGATGGGCCTCTGCCTGAGGGACTAAAGGCGGCAGTCCCTCCAGACAGTGACGGTGGGTCCTCCTAGGCCTGCAGCACGTCCCCTCGTGGGCTCTGAGTCCCGGGCTCACTTCCAACCCCTGAGAGCCCGAGGATCTTCAGACCCCTTGGGGCTTCGCTCATCACAGCCCACCCAGGAGAGGCGGCACCTGGCCTGGGCACACAGGGCCCTACAGGGTCCCAACAGCCGCCCCCCCGCAGTCCTTGGGCTGATGTACGCATAAGGGAAGGCGCTACTCCCGCTTCTCACTCTTCACACGTGCTCACTTTGTCCTTGGACTGAACCATGCAGGTGGAAAGCCCCTTGAATACCAAGGTCAGGGAAAGCACTCCACCTGTTTGGTTAACTTAATACACAAAGCCACTACGGCTGAGGCTCGTAGCCTCCCTCACCAAAATCCCACAAAGCGCTCCAAGGACCTTCAACATAGGTGTCCCCCCGCCCCCGGGGGCCAGCCCACGGTTCTCCAAGCACAGCCCGGGATGGTTCAAAACCACAGAGCGAGTAGGCACATGTCACCATGAATTGGGGGCTGTGTTTTTCCCTGCTGGTCTGGTTCACTCACAAAAAACGACAGGACTGTGTTTTATGAGCGTGGAAGAGGCAGAGCTATCCAGGCCAGAAGGGGGGCACGACCGAGCCCCGAGAGGTGGGACCGAGTCTGGAGACTCCACCTCGGGTGAGGTGACCGAGCTGGGCCAGAGCTGTCATTACACTTGGAGCCGACCCAGGAATGGCATAAGAAACGGATGCGGTTATGAAAAGAGGAAGACGGCATTTAGGAAGTGGGCCGAGGCCACCAAAAGGCCCAGTGGGGGAAGCAAGCTCCGAGGCTGTGGGGGGCCCAGCGAGCACAGGTCTGGCGGGTCTCCCGCCAGCACCAGGGCTGACGTCGTTCTGTGTGTGGGTGGGCACGTGCCTCCGTGCACAAATGGGGCCTGGCAAGGGCTCAGGGGCTCCCAATGCCTGCCTGTCTGACGCATAAATGGGGCAATCTGCCTTTGATTCTATGCGTTTCTGAGACATAAACGAAAGATGCTGCCATCTGACTTGTCCCCAAAATGTCTGAGACGCCATGAGGGAGGCTTCGCAGGCTGACATCACAAGCCCCGGCTGGGGGTTCCTAGGGGGTCAGGCAGTGAGCTGTGCCTGGGAAGGTGTGGAGGACTGGAGGGGACAGTGGGGGAGGCCGCAGCAGGGGGCACAGAGGGGCTGGGGGCCCCTGCAGCCCGTACGGGCGCCGCCGGGGCCAGCCACTGACCTGGGCACCAGCAGCATGAGGGGCTTATGACTCCAAATTGCTCAATTACTTTACCAATTTCCACAATTAGACATTTCAAAATAGAAGTGTTCTTTAAAAACAGGGGTATGACAACCAACCGTAAGTTGGCCAGTTGGCAGCTGGCTGAGGCTGAGAATTAGGTGTTAGAGAATTATCTTGTTAACTTTGTTAGGTGTGGTTAGGAAGACATCCCTGTGTTGGTTAGAGCCGTGTGGAAATGACTCAGGTCTGGATCTGCCTTCAGACTCTCCCAGCCACCCCCACCCCCGCCCCTGCCCCCAAGAAACCAACCAGCACAAATGAGCGGGGAAGGAAGAGGTTTAAGGCCTAGCAAACTGTAGAGTGCCGTTGAAGGTGGATGTGGGTCTCCTCACAGAGGCTCACTTCGTACTCTTCTCTCTACAGGAAATGTTACAGAAGTAATCAGAAAGCTAAGTGCAGTAGGGCAGGGAGGGGAGATGCTAAGCTTGTGCTGTTCCTGCCGAATACGAACAAGTTCTGTGCCAACGGAGGAGGGAACAGAAGCAGCCCTCAGGACAAGGAGGCTGCACCCCACAACAACGCACAAGTGGGGGATCAGAGGCACTCAGTCTAAACCTGAAAATCTAATCGTCATTTCTTCCTGAACCATGGGTTCTAAAACACGAGAACAAATGAGGCATTCTTAATGTAGTCAATTATTTCTGAGGACTTCTGTAGTCGCTGATGCCTCTAAAATCTGGTGAAAGTTCCAGATTGTGTCTCTGCAACAGCACGTACACAGGTGTGGGGCCTCCAAGGAAACCTGGAGAAGTGATCAATTCCACAGGGTAGGGATGGTGGACGAGGACACACCCACTGACGTGCACCCCCTGAAGAACCCTGGCAACAGAAACTAGCATGTAAAATCGGACCCGGGGATGATAGCCTGTGCGTACTCTCTCATTGAACTGAAAAGTGCCTTTCTGGCGTCCTTCATGTCTCTGTGGCATCTCCATGTGGTGATCGCTCTGGCCTGCAGAGTCCAAGGGCCATGCCCCTCCTGAATTCCCCCCAAAACCCCGGCCCCACGGCACCTGTGCCTGTCAGTGGACCTGTTGGTGTGCTGTCCTTCCCAGGATGGACGGGCACCATGGCCACCCCTTCCCGGCCTGAGAACCTCTGAGGGGCTTCCTTGAAACCATGTGGTAAAAACACTTTCCAAGAACAGGTGGGGTGCAGAGGACTTTGAGGGCAGTGGAAACACTGGGATACCATGGGAAACCATGACAGAGATACATGTCACTTGGCACCTGTCCCAACCCTCAGAACACATACCACCACGAGGGGCCTTTGGGCGAAGAAGATGTGTCAGTGTGGGTTCCCCAGCCTGATAAATGTCGTAACCCCAGCATGTGTGCCGATGGTAGGGGAGACCGGGCATGGGGGCCGGGGGTACATGGGGAATCCCTATACCTGACCCTCAATTTTTCTGCTGAACCAAAAGCTGGTCTAAAGAGTAAATCCCAGGGGTCCACAGGGCCTCAGCTGGCCTAAGACCAGTCCTGTTACTGGTGATGATGAGTGGGAATGAAATCAGGGGGCTCCCCGACAGCCCAGACTGCATGCACTACTTCTTGGATTCTCAAAAAAGTCCTTAAAAAAAACCCCCAAAACCAGTAATAATCAAAGACGCTTGGGTGGCTCAGTCGGTTGAGTGTCCGACTTCGGCTCAGGTCATGATCTTGTGGTTGGTGAGTTCAAGCCCCGTGTCAGGCTCTGTGCTGACAGCTCAGAGCCTGGAGCCTGCTTCGGACTCTGTTTCTCTTTCTCTGTGCCCCTCCCCTGCTCACGCTATCAAAAATAAAGATTAAAAAGGATTTTGGAAAAAAAACCCAGTAATAATAGTCATAATGATATTAACTCAAACTACTGACAACAACAGCAAACCTAGAAAAAAAATTTTTTTCAAGGAAAACTGGCCCCATTTAGGCGTCATGGTCTACAATCAGATCCCCATAAAAACCTTCTCAAGAAACTTCCGGCAGGAGCCGTGGTGCCGTGTCAGCCCCACTTGTCTGTGCTCTGTGCCGGAGCCACGGTGCGCTTCCTAACTGCAACGCAGTCCGAGGCCAGGCACTGGTGTGGACGCTCCTGAGCCTGGGCCCATCAGCACACATACAAGACGTGGCTAGTTCCACGAAGAGGTTGTGTTTGGGGAAAGGAAGGCAGAGGGACAGGCTGGGGCACCAGATGACTGTCCGACCTGACCCCTCCAGAGCGCACCGTGCACACCTGCCTGCAGAGTGCCTGCCAGCTGGCCAGGCACGGCCGTTCCTACAGCGCACTTGTGGACAGTCTTTGTCTGCAGGCCAGGGAACACCTACTCTCACAGGAAACCAGGCTTCACCTTGTTCAGGGAGCCAGTGGCCTCCAGGTTGGTAGGGAATGACCGGCTGGGTGCCCTGAGCAGTGAGGTCAGACCAGGAGGGCATTCGCAACAAAACAGGGCCGGTGGCTCTGGCAGTCACATGAACGTATCCAACCTTACACACCACTACCATTTCAGGGTAAAGCGGATTCTCGGGGGCCTGATGGAAGCAGGCTGCCTTCAGATGATGAGACCCTAAGATTCACAAGTGAGGAAGGGGCGAGGCCGGCAGCGCATGGCAGCCAGGCTCCGTCGGGCGCTTCCTCTGCACAGGCCCTGAGCACCTCACATGCACTGTCTCCGCCAAACCTCCCCTGGCCTGCGTCGGGGCATGACGGCAACCTGTGGACCCACCACCCTCTGGTTCCTACCGTGGGGCCACCGCCCAATGTGAACACAAGAAATGGGTGTCAGAACCAGTCAAGTTTAGAGGCCAGGCCTGCCCTGTGGACGGACTCATGCACATGGGTGACCGGGAGGACGTGCCTCACAGGCAACAGAAATACATCAGAAAGAAGCCTGCAGGGAATTCACTTCCAGATACAGGAGGAAAAACACGGCACGCTAACTGGAAATGCCATTTGCGCAGAAACCAATGTGATGATTCTGAGGTGCTCCTGGCATGACAGGACTGGGGAGCATCCAACAGGGTCGCCGCTCTGGCCACGGCCTGTCTCCGCTGTCTGTGTCCTGCAGCGTCCTCGGGGAGATGCTGGAGGTGGAGCACGTCCTTCTCACACCCTCGCAGGGTAGATGGGCCTTCTGTTCCCGGAAGCAAGTCTCAAGTGCGCGGCTTGTCAAGGGGAGGGAAGCGCTCCTCCGGTGGCGTGGCGGTCGTGGTCGGGCTGATGTGGAGGACTCCGGTCGGTGGGGCTCCCAGCCGCCTGCCTTCCCAAGGGCTCCTCAGCACACTGGCACTTACCTGGATGCCCAGCCGATGGCAGGCCGAGACACCAAACACAGGAAGACGTCTGCTCGGAGAGCCTTACCTTGTGTACGCTTTTGGGGTTTTCCAGCCACGCATAGTACATTTCCTCCACATAGTTGGAGCTAGTCCCGCTGAGGAAGGGCTCAGCAGCAACGGGGGCGGTATAGCCCCGAACCTGCCCGAACGTCCTAGCTGCGGCCGATCTGTTTTGTGAAAACGTCCTCACAGTCTGGGAGGCCGTCAACGGCCTCAACTTAGCAGCATAAGTCCTTAAGTGAAACATTCTCGTCCCGAAGCCTCTCGCGAGCGTCTGCACAAGAAAGGGAAGAGAAGTCAGAAAGTGTTTTAGTGAACAAGGCCACCAGGAAAGACTGGCGGACACACCAGGGACCCTGCGCCCCGCCCCAGTGCCCAGGCCCACACTTGACATGACACTGAGGGGGAGACGCAGCTTCGGTCTCATAGGAGGGAAACGAAGCAACGATCGACATGTGATACTTGTCAAGTCTGTGCATCGTGTGACACAATCACAGAAAAGGCAACAAGGATTATTCAATGGGATTAGATCAGGATTAATTACAAAGCGAGAAAGACATTTTCTTTTTTTGTTAAAAAATTTGTTTAGTGTTTATTTTTGAGAGAGAGAAAGACAGATAGAGAGAGTGTGAGTGGGGTAGGGTAGAGAGAGAGGGAGACACAGAATCTGGAGCAGGCTCTGGGCTCTGAGCTGTCAGCACAGAGCCTGACATGGGGCTCGAACTCACGGACTGTGAGATCATGACCTGAGCCAAAGTCGGACGCTCAACTGACTGAGCCACCCAGGTGCCCTGAGAAAAACATTTTCTAATCTATCCTGGAACTACTGAGCACCTGCTGGACCCAGAGTGCTCTGGAAAGTACAGAGAAACTAGAAAAACACTGTGTTCACCCTCAAATAATTTATCTTGAGGCAGAAGAGAAAACAATCATAAAAGAATCAGTAGAAGGAAAGACGGAGGTGGAAAAGTGTGGAAGGGGCCCAGAGGAAGAGCAAGAATTGTCTGATGAAAGACAGGGAGGGTGGGGTGAGCCGGGCAGGACCACACAGAGGATCCTGACACCCCACACGCAGCAAGGCCATGTTTCACAAGCACTGGGTGGGGGGGAGGCAAGGGGGTTCTGCCAGGGGAGTGAGTGGCTCTAACAAAGGTTCAAAAGGAAAGTACGCACAGCCATGGTTAAAGAGATGTCTACCTGCCCTGTGCCGCTAGACGGTCAGCAATGAGACACGACAGGACTCCACGAACCACACAAAACCCCTAGAAGCCAGGTGCCAGCTCCTCTACTTATGGACTGCCTTTCTGAGTTTCAGTTTCTTTCTTGAAAGAAAGTCCCCAAGGTCACAGGGCCGTCAACAGCAGAGCCAGGATGCAAACCCTGTCTTCCTGTTCTGCCTGGCCCTTCAGCGGCTGAAGAGGAAGGGAGAGGCCGGGGCGGGAGGGCAGGGACTCCGGGAGGGAGGGGGGAGAGGGGGCCACTTACTTGCTTCTGATCTGAGTGGACCTTGTGCTTGGCAGTCATAGTGCTTGACGGTCATAATTTTACTAAGCTTAACATGTATACCTGTCCGACACAGCCACACTACAAAAGAAGCGGCTGTATCCACCAGACCATGCGAGAGCCAGACTGTTCCCAGGGTACCCTGAACCACTTGCAGCCATGTCTAAGAACCCTGCGTGTCTGAGGGCAGGGGCCCTATGCCGTCCTCCTCCCAAGAATCCTAGCTGCCCAGGGGCACCTCTATTCAGACTCCGGGGACCCCAGGAGGGCGGGAGGCAAGGCTCACCGCAGACCCCCGCCCAGGGCTGCCCTGTGTGCTGCTGGCCTACCACATCACTCACGCCAGAGCCTCAAAGTAGGTGCCCTGGCTGGAGTCACGCACCACCCCCCATCTACCGGAGGGAGATCCAAGCTCTGAAATGTGCTGAGAATTCCCCAGAAATACATGTTGAGTAAACTACCCTCTGTACTGTTTACAAGAACTCTTCCTCTTGGCCCCAACACGATCAGAGTACACATAAGGCCTGTGATGGAGAGGGCACCCAGCCGGCTCTGTGGCTTGGAAGAGACAGGTCAGCAAAAGGAAAAAGCAGGGGGGGTGCCTGGCTGGCTAAGCCAGTGGAGTATGTGACTCTTGATCTCAGGGTTGAGAGTTTAAGCCCCACGTTGAGTATAGGTATTAATTAATTCAAAAAAAAAAAAAAAAAAAAAAAAAAGGAAAAAGCAGAACATGTGCTCTGAAAACCAACAACAAATGAAAACTTGCCCATTGAAAATTAAAGATGGACGGGGGTGCCTGGGTGGCTCAGTTGGTTAAGCATCTGACTCTTGATCTCAGCTCAGGTCATGATCTCACAGTTTGTGGGATCGAGCCCTCTGTTGGGCTCTGTGCTGATAGACAGCGGGGAGCCTGCTTGGGATTCTCTCTCTCTCTGCCCCTCCCCCACTCATGTGCTCTCTCTGTAAAATAATTAAAAAAAAAAAATTTAAAGATAGACAGGCCATGTATTTTGAACATGGCCCCAGAATGCAATCGTAGCCTGTGTTTTGTTTTCACTCAAGTCACACGTTCCACATTCAGCCGGCGGGTCTCCCGGCCCCTCGCCCCTCGCTCATTCACAAACATGTCAAGGCAGACCAGCACCTTCACACACAGTGACGGCAGAAAGCATGCCTGCTGCTCTGGACATCAGTCTTCTTTCTCTTATTTACGTCCAGAGGAAAGTGCTCATGTCTCCCCTCTGGTGTTGCTGCCCTCTGGACCTCCAGAACCACGCAACCGTCTCTGAGTCAGGCTCTCCTCCAGGAACACAGCAGTCTCACCTCCATTCACTGTCATCATTCAGCTGCCGTGGTGCCCAATTATACAAGGACCACACTGACAATCACAAAACCACTTGTTTCTTCTGTTCCACCCAAAGTTGTCCTTCCAATCCCACGTGCAAATGAACCGTGTTCTCTAGCTGTCTGCAGTCACAGAGTCTGCTGCCCAGCGCAATGACCGGGACAGATCGCAAGCATCAAACTTCCCTCAAGATGACTCATCACAAAGACTGTCTGTCAGCATATCGCTCGGGACCCCTTACCTCCACCCCAGGGTAACCAGGAGCAGCTGTTCTCTGTCCACTATCAGATGGATCCAGAGCAGACCCTGGGGTTACATTCAGACTTTGGAAGAATCAGTTTCCGTCCTTCCAATTCCAAAGTCAACTGTAAGAATAGCGTGTTCTTTGCTAGAGACATTCAATTGTTCAAAGAGTTTCATGAAACCTTTGGGCTGTCCCAGAAGTCCAAGTGTTCTGACTTTCATTTGGATGAGTATTTCTGTTTCACAAAGGTGCCAAAAAATTCTATGGGGAAAAAGTAGTCTTTTCAACCAATGGTGTTGGGACAAGTGGGGTTCCACAAATAAAAGAACAAAATTGGGCCCTATCTCACACCATATCCAAAATTAACTCAAAATGGATCAAAGACCCAAACGGAAGAACTAAAAAACTGTAAGACCCTTGGAAGTTTCATAATTTCCAAGTTAAAATGGAGTAAATCTTTGTGGCCTTGAGTCAAGTAATGGATTATTAGTTAGGATATCAAAAGTACAAACAAATGAAAAAACAGATAAATTGGACTTCATCAAAATAAAAGCCATGGTTTGTTGTCACAGGACACCAACAAGAGAGAGGAAACACAAACAGAATAGGAAAACATATGTACAAATCATATGATTATGTACAGAATACGTGAAAAAAAAACCCCTCTTTTTAAAAATGTTTATTTATTTTTGAGAGAGAGAGAGAGAGAGACAGACAGACAGAATGTGAGTGCAGGAGGGGCAGAGAGAGAGAGGGAGACACAGAATCTGAAGCGGGCTCCAGGCTCTGAGATGTCAGCACAGAGTCTGATACAAGGCTCGAACCCACAGACCATGAGATCATGACTTGAGCTGAAGTCAGATGCTTAACCTCCTGAGCTGCCCAGGCGACCCCCAAAAAACACCTCTTGTAATTCAATAGTAAAGGGAAATATAACTAAATCAAAAATCTAACAAAGGATATGAACAATTTTCCAAAGAAGATATACAAATAGCCAATAAGCACATTAAAAGTTGTTCGAAATAATCATTCATTAGGAAACTTCACATCAAAACCGTAAGAGACCACTTCACGCAAGGAGACTAGGTACAATTAGAGAGAAAATCAGTGTTGAAGACGTGGAGGAACTGGAGCCCCCTGCACCGCTAGTGGGAACAGAAGCTGGTGTAGCCGTCGTGGAAAACAGTTTGGCAGGCCCTCAAAGAGTTAAACAGAAAGTCACCATATGACTCAGCAATTCCACTCCTAGATACATAAAGGAGAGAAACGAAAACATATGTGTACACAAACATTTGTATGTGAGTGTTCACAGTAGCATTATTCATACTAGCCCCAAAATGTAATAGAGTGGGCAATAAAAAGGAAGGAAATACTGTTATGTGCTGCAACACAGACAAACTTCCAGAATGTGAAGAAAATCATCCACAGAAAACATACTGTGTGATTTCACTCCTATAAAACGTTCAGAAAGCCTGCGGGTGGCTGCCCAGGGCTGGGGGCCGGCGGGTGGGGCCGAGTGCACACATGGCTGCTGATGGGTGTGCAGTTTTTTAGTTTGGGGGGGTGGTGCGATGAAGATGCTCCATGACTAGATTATACTGATGGTTACACAACCTTCTAACATACTGGAGAATTCCCCATCGTAAAACTTCAACGGGTGAATTGTATGGTATATGAATTGTGCCAAAAGTTGTTTCAAAAAGAACTATGTCTGGGGCGCCTGGGTGGCTCAGTCAGTAAGCGTCCGACTTCAGCTCGGGTTATGATCTCGTGGTTCATGAGTTCGAGCCCCGCGTCGGGCTCTGTGCTGACAGCTCAGAGCCTGGAGCCTGCTTCAGATTCTGGGTCTCCCTCTCTCTTTGCTCCTCCCCAACTCACACTCTGTCTCTCTCTCAAAAATAAACATTAAAAAAAATTAAAAAAAAAAAAGAACTATGTCTAAGAAAAAATAAAAGTGAGTCTACCAGTATCAAAGTGACACTACTTGTGACCCATAATTTCAAGACGTAGGTCTAAACCTGTCCATTTGAAAAAACAACATTTAAGATAAACACAAACCAAAGCAAACTTTGTTTTTAAGGGTTCAATCTACTGCCCCTCAGAACCTACATGCTGATGTTAGACAGGACTTTACCTGTGCCTGGACCTTCCCCAG